AAATTAAGAGCTAATAGTACATGTGGCTAAAGCTAACCATCAATAGCATAATTGTAATTAAGTTAGAATTTTATTTGTGAACATTTAGTTGACGGTTTGTTTCCTAATCACTATCACTCAGCTGACTCGACAGCACGGCATTCATGCATGCAAAACCTCGGTTTGATCACTTTTCATATTCTGACCTTTTGCTGAAATTGTGTCATCTGCATTAACTTTGTACATCTCCCAGAATGCATTTCTCCATCGCTTCTTTAATCACAATGTGAATTCCCCTGAAATGAAAGCCAGAGTGAATGGAAGGGAGGATTAAATACCGCTATACAGAATTGCCTTGGCTGATCGCTGGGAGTCTCACGGCAGTCTTCAACACTGAGCGTGCTCAGAAATACGGTCGCCCTACTGGCGGAAGACTACAGTCTGCCGATGATGTCAGTAGGTTAGAGTCACTGTTCAGAGGCGCGTGTAATACAGTCTGTGCCAGATATGCCCAGGATCTTCTGGTGATGAATAAATTGAGCTTAAGTGGTAATGAAGACGGTCACGTGTGCACGGGGGAGGGCAGGGGGAGGGCAGTCTGACGCTTTCCGGCTGAGTTATCCACACCCGGTGCTGCGATAATGGTCCTCCAGAAAGTAACCAGCAACCACATGGTTTATGAGGCCTCTTAATGACCTTGAATTTGCTTAATAGTATCTCGTGGGAGCAGTTTCCCCACAGGGGGCATGTGAGTGACAGAAGACGTGTGACACGGGACTGCGGATGAGCCGTCTGTGCGGAGCTGCCCCGCTTTAGCAAAATTTAAGTGCCAACACCGCAACGCAACATTTACTGGCTGCTGTCAGTGGCAACTTCCGTTTGATCTCATTTACGCCACGTCTGAGCTAATTACATCAGACTTTTTCCTTTTTTTATCACTGCACACGAATTCCAAGATCGAAAACAACAAATGGAAGACAGCACAGATGTGGCTTTTTAAAAAAGTTAAGTGGATTGGGGGGGGCGGGGGGCACAGCATGTAATTCCTACCCCGTCCAGAGGTGTGGAGCCTGGCATCCACGTCATGCTGC